GATAATTTTACTCCCTACAAGCTGTCTGAGAGTCACTTTTCGCTAAAATTGATGGTTTTCCCTGCAAAGTGAAAAAACAGTTTTCCTCACTTATTTGTTTAAATAGAAAAGTTAGCTAATAAAAGTTTTTGACTCACGAGATGAGAGATGTCTTGTATTATGTTCCTTAAAACAATTCTACAATAATCTCGCGGATAGGACTTTTTTCGAGTTTCTCTTTTATTTTCGCTAATTTTCCTGGTGTAAAAGTGTCTTTTTCGTTCCAGAACATAAAACAAATGTCAAAATAATTTGTCATGTTTTCGAAATTCATTTACGATTTTTACGTAAAGAAACAAATTTCACATCTTTCTTTCAGGAAAATGGTGGCTTTGTACGGTACAGAGCGTCGACTGCTCGCTGGTGCAGGTACTATTCGACAGTTTCAACCGCACCGAGTGGATATACAGGGGATCCACGCGACTCAGCCCGATGTTCAGGGAAGAGCTGGCGGCGACCAACAGGCACACCGGCGTGAGGACGTCCCGGAAAGTTGGACCGGTAAGTGCGCCTCGTTAACACCGCCCGTTCTTTGTTTGAAAACGATAACCGTTCCAGAACGAGTCGGCCACCGTCGTCCAATACACCCGCAACAACGATTTCGTCCTGGCCTCTCAGGAGAGCAATTCCGTGAGGGCGGTGGCCAGGAAGAGCACGACTAAGCCTCAGAGTAACGTGCCCGCTCCCAACATCGTGCCGTTCCTGCCGCAGGTGAATAACACGCCGTCGAATATTACGGGACCCACGAGCAAGATCATGGTAAGTGTTGGGGTATTTAACTGGTAGAACGATCAAAATAACTCATTTAGAGGGGAAAAAAAAAGAAAATTGTTACCTGGACTTTCATAAGTGGAAATGGTAAAGGGGCTTAAAATAAACGAAAAAAAAATAAATGCGTGAGCAGCGGCGGCGGAGGGTTGATTTGGGGGGTTGAAAAAGTTATTAAAAATTGTGAATTGGGATTTATGGCGAAAGTTGACGTTAAGCAAAAAAGTATCTAATACAAAAGTTGTAAATCGTGCAAAAATCTACAACTTTTGTAGAGGTCACTTTTTAACATAACCTCAAAATTTCCGAGAGAAATGCGAAAAACCGGTTTTTTTCTGATTTTTCGTTTTTTATTTCTCAATTCCGCAAAAATAATTTAATTTTGACGAAACTTGGTGAAGGTATACCTTTCTCTGTCTTAAATAACCTCAATTTTTTTTAGATAAAAAAATCAAGTAGTTTCTGAGATATTAATTTTTTTCGGCCTGAAACATTTTTTTTTCAAAGAAAAATTCTACTTAAAAAAATCATCGTACAGAATTCTTACGGTAATCATTTTTTTCGTTTTGACATATACTTTTTGGTGAAATAAAAAAATTCGTAATCACAGTTCAAAAACATGCTCAAAAATGCAAAAAATTAAAAAATGACTTGCAGCAATGAAGTTTTCGGTAATTGTTGATAACTTGTTTAAATTTAAAAAAAAAAATCAAAAACTTATTATACCATTCAATTGTACGGAAAAAATACAAAAAAAAACTCTCATTGTTTGACCCAAAACTATTTTTGTACAGTATTGCTACAAACATAAGTCGAATAGTGAATAAATAAAATAAATAATAATTTTTTCCGTAGGATCGATTAGTGTACTTATTTTTTTAAAAGTTTGATGAATTCATAGATATATAGTGTGTCCAAGATAAGGTTGGGATAGCATTAGGATCTAGGAAACGGTAAGAGATACGGGGTGGCTCAGATTAGAAAAAAGTTGTGTTTTTTAGACCTAACAATTTTGCTGTTTAGAAAGTTTTAAAATTCCGGATAGTTTCGGAGATATCCGGAAAAACCCAAAATTTTCCAAAATTGTTAATTTTTTCTGGCTTTATTTGAAAAGGAATTTTAAAATAAATTACATATTTACAATGCCACTTTTTTCGCTCTATACAATGGTGTCAACATTTTTTTCGTCTTCGAGGGGACATCATTGTATTAATTTTTTTATAAACGTCGCTGCTATTTTTGTGACAAAATCTAGTCATTTTTAATTCTGAATTAGAGGATGTTACTATTGTAATCGCTTAAAAAGTTTTTAGCTTGTTTTGGCTATAATTTAAAATTTTTCCTGAGTACGGCTCTGAACGCTTTCAAAATATCTATTGGATGAAGTCATAACAGTATAAAAGTCAATACCGCGCAAAATATCCAACAATTTTTTACTACTGTTAGCAATACTAATTAAAAATAATAAAATATTTCATAAATTCGTATTATTTTTTTATTAGGTACAACTTTGTAAAATATGGATTAAAAAAAATTGTTGTATATTTTGTGCTGTATCGACTTTTATTCTCTCCTCTCTCTCTCTCTCCTCCAATAGAAACGGGTATTTTGAAAGCGTTCAGAGCCGTACTCAGGAAAAATTTTTAATGATAGCTAAAAACCTTTTTTAAGCGATTACAAAGTAATATCATCTAATAAAATATGCAATTTATTTAAAATTCGTTTTCAAATAAAGCCAGAAAAAAAAATAAAAACGATTTTGCAAAATTTCGGGTTTTCGGATTTCGCGTCAACAGTAGACTTTGCAGTTATAGTCTGTTTAGAAATGAAAGAGAGTAATAAAAGCTTATTATGTATGTAAATAGTAAATAAATGTAGTACTGGTGCTTATATTCAATATTTGAATGATGAGGTGTACTTTTAAAAAAACTTTGTGTNAAAATAATTCCGAAATTAAAATTTTAATTAATATTTCCTTTAACAATAATTTTTGTAAATTAAAAAAAATTAAGTATAAAAGATGCATTTTTTCTGGGCCTCAGGGCTACTCTATGAATTCGTAAATACTCTCATTGTTATTTTTTCGTCGAGCTACCCCAGTTTAAAATAAAAATAAGTTTCTACGATGAATAGAAGCCGAGATATTGCAAAATTTACAGCGCGCATCAATTTGAAATTCAAACAGTTTACTTATCCAGTACCTTCTCTTTAAAGGGCTCATGATCGTTAATTTTCCACATTTTTTAATGCAATTCACGGGAAATCGTAGTTTATCTCGTAAACTGTATTTTGGGAAAAATTCAAGTCTTGATGTTTATAAACAATTGCGTTACGATTTAAAAAAAAAATCTTATCTTGGCTTCTGTTGGTCGCAGAGGGTGCTCTTTTTTTAAAAATTTGTATTTTTGTTTCCAGCTTATTTTATTATTTTATTGTTAAGTTTTTTTTTTAATATTCGGCGTTTTGTCCACATTGATACCAAAAAAAATATGGTGACTTTAAAATAACACGTTGCTAATCCATACAAATTATTTTCCATTGTCTTGTTTTAGACAAAAGTTGTAACTTTTTATTACAAACTGAACCCAGCCCGATGTCTGTTGATACAGAAATATATTAGTTATTGCAGAAAAACGGCTAAAAATCGCATTTTCTTAAAACTTCTGTATCTTTAAAACGAAATAAGATTTTTTTTTCGAAACTTTCAGAATATGTAGACCTTGGCAAGTCTTAGAATAATAGACCAGGAAAATTAGAGAAAAAAAAGAGAAACTCGAAAAAAATCCTATCTGCGATATTTTTGTAAAATTGTCTAAAGGAACATAATAACGACCGTTCAAATAAAAACGTGGTTAAGTTGGTTCTGAAAATTTGGACGTAGGGCGTAGCGTATAGCAAATGAACTTAAACGTCATCTGTCAAAGAGCTATATCGCCGCTATCAATTTGAATATTTTCGTTTTAAAAAGCGTTTAAAATGGTGTTTTCTCAAGAACAAAAAGTGTTTATCATAGAGTCCTACTTTAGAAATGGACGCAAGATTGATGGAATATGGAAGTATTCTATTGAGGAATGTTTCATAGAATTTCAAAATCAATTTCCCGGCGTTGTTGAGTACAAAATTTTTCAAAGTGCAGTTCAGCGTTGTGTTAATGTTTTTCGTGAAACGGGCAGTGTAACAAGAAAAGAAGGAAGCGGCCGACCTAAAAAGCGGACTGAAGAATTAAAAGAAAATGTCCAACAAATAATGGAAAATGCGCCAAGAACTTCTGTACGTGTTTTATCACA